GCTGTAGACATACCCGACAAAAGGGACTGTTTCAGCGCACGCTCCCCATTCAGCGCCGATGGTGTCAACTTTATTATCTTTAGCCCACTGCTGCATGGGAGACAGGCCGCTCGGGATCTTATACTGGGAGTTAAGACCCTCGATCTTCGCGAGGAGAAGTGTGTCTCGAAGATTCTTGTTATATTCGTGGAGATTGCAACCCAGTGCAATACATCCATCCATCAAGCTAAAGCGATCCCCTCCCGGGTTCCTAATCCAAGTGGCCTGAATAACATCGGGCCCATCTTTGTTGATCAAAGTTGGACCGAATTTGTTGCATAATGCACAGTACAGCAGAAGAAGGCCGACAATCGGTCCAACGTCCTCGCCTCCGAGCTTCTCCGTGGTCATGAGGGGATATGCGTGCGCCGAGACCACGAAACCTAAATGGCATCTAAGATTTGTAAACCTCGCGGGAGGAAAGTCTCTTACCCAGTAGGCCGAAAAAGTCGGTGATTTCAACCTCGTCACAGAGCGAGTTGAAACGGACGTGTGCAGATACATTGCTCATGACGCGCCTCCTGTGTCTCCTAGGCGCATCCGTTTGTTTGAAAAAGATATTGCTAAAACGATAGAGCGACGTACGATAAGGTCTGCAGCGCGCCTGAAACTGTGGCGAGAGGGCCATGAGATAGGGCTGGTAATTCCTGCCAATGCGACACCAGGGCTGATTCTAAACCGTTGTCATGCAATTTTGACCTGAAGTGGAGTGTCCTTGGATCATTGCACAAGAATTGGAGCTTCTCCTGGTTAGGCATTGCGTCAAGTCGGTGAATGCGTATAGAGGAATGCAACCCACCATTTCCGAAAGCCCCTGGTGATGGAGGAGTTTTGGAGCGATATCGAAGATTGAGTGGCGGTTTTGCTGGGACTGAGACATCGAGAGTGATTATGCGAATGAGGAACATACTTGGGGACACCATGTCCATTTTATAGTGTTCGTTCAGGGCCACCATGTAAGCAGTGTGTTTCAAGACTCTTGTTTGGACAAGCTTCGGTTGACTGCTATGTGATTCGCCACCTTGTTCTTAAAAAATGCGAGAACCGACCCTAGAACGTTTGATTGCCTGGATTCTGATGCCCCCCATAGTATCCGAAGGCCTTCTTGCGCTTGACAATATAATGAGATCGTTACCGCATGCAGAAGTGAAGGCATGTCTGTGTTCAGGCAGCTGACGCCACATCGCTAAACTCAACCGGAGTCAGTTTGCGAGGCACCGCGCTGATAGACCAGATACGGACTGACTCACTGATTGCTTGCGCCCACTTATGCGTTATCGTCCGCCACGACATAATAGGAAAGCTGTGTTTTTTTTTGTCGCTGCTTTAGTTCAGTGCGTTTCGACGCCTTTTGTGACTCGTTCTTGAAAGTTGGCCCTGGAGTCGAAGTCGCTGATATGACTCCGCTTCAATTTGACTCGCCCACAGCCGACACGCCGCCACACCGACCTGGGCAGCAGGGTTACCGATATCTTTTGTTCGTTCAATCTTGGTTCAACTCCACTCGGCTGTGAAGGGCTCATCGTAACAGACAGAAGTCAGAGACGTGCATCAAGGCCTGACCGCGTGAATTCGAGTCGATTCGATCCTGAAGGGAGCTCGCTAGCATAATGAAATGTTGTGGGTCCAATGTCCAGAAAAGGAAGGCCAGCGCGGCCCGGGGGAATGCAGTGCCAAACAACGTGGCCTGCTGACTCCATCACCCACTGAGTATAAAGAGAGCCGAACGAAGAGCCACCCAGCTGCAGTATCCCCTTGATCGAACGCTCTGTCCCCGCAACTTTCCAATGTCCCAAGTTTGCCCCCTCCCTCATCCCGCCTATGCTGGCATTCTGACGCTTTCGCAGACGTCCACCGTGACCGAGTCTGTAGTACTCTCCAGAGCGACGAAGGTAACGGCCGACTTACCACACATATGGTGTAACTAATTGTTTTCTCAGGCATTCCCGCAATCCTGGCTGAAACCTCACGATGCGTTTGTCATCGAGCGTTCGCAATGGAACCACGAAGCTGCACGGAAGACAGACTCAGACAAAATTCAATACTCGATAGAATGGCCAAAGTTGAGGGGTAACCTCCTCACCCAGAAGTTGGGCGTGGAGCTTGTCCACCTTATTGTGCGCTACTACTTCGGGATCGACGGCTGCATCATCCCTATCGGTTGTGTAACCGACTTCGAGACCAAGATCCTTGCATTTACCATTGCCGGGCCCACGGACAGCGAGGGTAGAAAGGAATTCTACGTTTTGCATCATTACGGCTTTGAACCGGAGAGCAACACGCTCAGACGCTTTATTCCTGGCTTCGCCAGTGTGGCCGAATTCCATCACGATGCCTCCTCCAAGGTGCCAGAAGACGTCGATTCAGTCGAAGGAGGAAAAGTCGCGTACGAGGTGGAGTGGGAGAAGAAGAGGGGCAAGAACGTAAGGCGGCGGGCAGAGTAAAGGAGGGAACATCTACATACGTTCAGACTACATACACTCCGTATCCGCGTTTCCTAGCAAGACACATCTCTTGATTTTCTCCAAAAACTTGGGGTCTGAGGTGTTATCATCTTGTTGAAGACGAGCAAAAAAAAAAAAAAACGACCGGGTATGTGACCGTCGAGAGATATGAACCTGTTTTACGCCGCAGAGGGGGGTCAACACACGAGGTAAATGACGGCAACGGCACCGCGGCGGGCCTAACTATCGACCTCCTGACAGTGTTGAATCAGACGGAGGCGGCTGTTCTTCGACGATACCGAGTTGACCGGTCATGTAATATTGCATCTCTCGAACTACGAACATTCACTGTTTCAGACTGCGTACACTTGAACCCGATACTACCCCCGAAAACACAAATGTCTCTGCACACGATCCCCACTCATAATTACTGGAACTATTGGTGATCAAAGGTGACTGGGGAGTCACTAGCATCGTAGCTGTTGGTTTCAATTGACGCTCTGCACCGTGAAGTTGACTCCCATACCATTGATATTCGATAACGAATCCTCGGTGGCGGAGGACGCGCTCCCCGTTACGCGAACTCTGTCAACATCGGCGTGGGGCATATTCAGTAGGGAATTGATCACCGAGCCGCCGCCGCTACTAACCTCCATAGGGTGACAGCCCTTGCGGCCGAAAGTTCAGCGAAATTCCGTATGTGGGCGAATAATGTTTCACAACGGCTTCGTAGTCGCCCAAGAAACATCGTCCCCAGCTGGAAAAAGTGGCGTGAATGACAAGACAAAGAAAGGAGCGAGCAAGACAGGATACTCCACGTACCAACGAGAAATAGTGACCATTTTGTGGGATCATCCTGCAAGAAACAAGTTGGTCGAACGGCCGGCTTTATAACCGTGTCGCCACAGAACCCTGAGGGATGATGTAGTCAAGTGGCGTCAAGGACAACACTGAATTTGGACAAGGGCGGGACCGTAACCGGGAGAGCTGTGCAGCTGTCGAGAGGTTGCAATGACTCAAGCGAAGTGTGTGCGGCATGTCCTGCTGGCCACCAGCTGGAATGGAAGCCGCCTCAATGACATTCGGATTTCACAGCCTCCGATACACACGTTCCACCCGTCCGCGCAATGCTCGGTGGCACCCGGTACGGAGAAGGGCGCAGCCCTGAGGCATGCGAAGCAACAGATACAATCTCGTAGTTTCACACCCGAGATTCCGAGAGGGACATGGCGTATACTGTAATTGCTCTGCGTGGATCGAGTCGCAGAGAAACGAGGAAGACAAGGCATGCGCGCACCTTGACCGGTTAACCTCCGTTACGCTTAGTGACCAGGTTGCGGATGAATGTACAGCATCGAGACGAGCAACCCAGTCGGCCCGGTAAGGTATCAGATGATTGCAGGAGATGGCTGGTGTTGGAATGTTCCGAGAAGGTGAATCACTGAATGGCGATTCCATTACTGAATGGCGATTCCATTACTGCAAACTTCAAAATCGGTCAACGTGGTGGAGCGAAGCAAGAGCTGATGCCGGTTTTGATCCTAAGCTGTTCCGGCAGATGCCATCATTCATCTTGAAAACCAAGCACAAACCAAGCACAATCGACATCGGTTCGGCTCTCATGGCGGCTAGGACGTGGAATGAATTTTTGCTCAATGACGCGCGGTTTCTCGGACTACTCAGCCCAATTTGCTTGCAGGGGCAAAAAATCCTCCCTTAATCCAACGACGCTGCCAATACATTTTTCAGCGACTAGAGACATTTGGTTTAGAGTAACGAAGAAAAATACGGGAACAGGACTCACGAGTGGAATCCAAAAAAATTGTAGCACGAAGTAAGGCTGAGTGAGATATAACTCTTCTAAAGGCCTCAAGTTCATTTGATGCGAGGACTTACAGAAGCTCTACTAAGACAAACGATCAACCAGACCTGAGGATGAGTCGCGACATCATGAATTTGCTCGGTATCTTTGAACGTTGATTGATTGTCCCGTTTAACCGGACCACACGGCCATAAGAGTTGAGTTACAAATTAAAACAAGACACGGATATGAAGTCTCGCGCCTCATTTGGTTGTTATTTTCACCGAGTCCGGGGATTCAACTTGGCATTTTCAACCTTCCTCAACCTTTTCCCGGCCCTGTTCTTCCTCATCCCCTACTACAGCGACATGGCGCAGATGGAAGCGCGCGGGGCCATGACCGGCGCTCCGCGTTAGGACATCTGAGCGATGTTTGTTCTCCTCCCTGGGCGACTGGGTTGAAACGATGTTTGTTTCTGTTTATTCTCACTGATCCGCCGGTTCAACCTCAACAAACCCGTGCTCCCTTCACCCCATGGCGCAGTGGGGCTCCAACCGGAGCATCTGGGCGTGCAATAGGTTATGTTTGGTTATGTTTACCTTTCTTCTGATGCTTTCTGTGATCGGTCACACGAGGTTCAACTTCGCTTTTTCAACATTTTCAACCTTCCACACCTCATCCTCGGTCCCTCCCCTCCTCTTTCAACTCTTTCTCACAGCAGCATGGCGCAGATGGAAGCGCGCGGGGCCCATACCGCTTACGTAAGCAGATACCCCGAGGTCACTCGATCGAAACGAGTTGCTGCTATGGTACCGTACATCAACTCTTTTGCCAACACACATCGCTTTTTTGGTCTGCCCTTTCGCCCATTTACCACGTTCTTCCTCCCTCCGTAAACTGCCAGCGTTCGTTTTTGTCTTACTACGACCGCCATTGATCGCACGCCTCCAACTGCGCCATGTTCACATACATAACCCCACTTTGTTCCGAGTTTTGCATGTACGAATTGACGGAGATCTAGATCGGCACGTTTATGTAATTGTCACTCCCTTGCGATCCTCACCTGTTCAAGGCTGTTACAGTAGGCTTTTTTAGGAGGCGAGGGTTTGGCCCTTCTTGTGATAACGGACTTTCCAAGTCGCGACAGACGGAAAATAGTATACTCAGAGACTTAGGCACGATTGTGGTTGATCGTGCGCACTCGTATAAGTGCTGCGGAATGAAGTGGCTCAATACAGCCTTCGGTGAGTGCCTTTGGGTACTTAGGCCATGGGAGGGTAATTTCATCCTGATTACCGCATCTCGTACATTGTTGCTTCATCGAGGTTAGAAAAGTTGAGATCGTTTCGACGTCGTATGGGTCATTTTCAACGTCCGAGGCTGGCTATCAGTCCATACATCGGTAGGCGAAACGCTCTGTGGGACCCAGACTCCGTGAGTGTCTCGCCATACACTCAGAATTATTTTTGGAATGTTAAAATCAAACAATGCAAGTGATCTTCACATGGAGTGTACAGGACGACGACCAGCGGACCAACCATCACGATATAACCGACCTGTGGAAACGTTCCTACAATTCTCAAGACGCGAACACACGCAGATTTGAACTTTGAACGCGACGAAGGCAAAGAATGGATGAAAGGGTCGCAGGACCTTTATCGTCGCCGAAGACTTTATCGTAGGCGTGTCAGGCCTTCAGGGCGCGTCGCGACCCACCGCGACCCACCGCCCTCGTTATTTATATCTTCCAGTCGCTCCACAATCCGCATGGCTGTTCCTTAAAATAACTGTCGCGCGCATCACTGATTCAAGATCCACTTACTGCGGCTGATCCAACCGGCGTTCAGTGGGTATAAAAAGGACAGCCGTTCCTAGAATCCCACATTCCTCTTCCCCCGGCCGCGCCACTTTTTTCGTTTTCGTTTTCGCATTCGCACTTTACTCAGAACTCGACGTTCTCTTGCCATTCCTTCCTTCTACCTTTTTCAACCAACCAATCCAACCACCACCCTATTCAACAAAATGCAGTTCTCCATCGTTGCCATCCTCGCAGCCCTCGCCACCGGTGCGCTCGCAGCCCCCGCACCCCTGTTTCTCCGCCAGGACACGTGTGACATCGCCAGTGCGTTTAATCCTCCTTTCTGTCAACCCGCGGTTACTGACGTTTCAACCCACACAGACTGTGTCCTCGACCTCGCCCCCTCTGTCGTCTCGTGCGGTTCCGCCGCGGCTCAGGCCGGTGTCGGTGCGTCCCTCTCACATACCCACATCCCTGCCCGTTACTGTAACTTGACGCCATGTAGACCCCGTCTCCGATGCCAGCTGCTTGATCGCCGCCGGCAAAGACGTCGCCGACCTCCCTGCGTCGTGCAACGGTTGCGCAGCCAAGTTCGGCGTCGACCTCCCCTCCGCGACCGGCGTCGTGGGTAGCATCGAGAGCGGCATTGACAACCTCGGGAACGACATCAAGGGCATCTTCTAAGCCCCTTGATTTGGCGCCTGTTGAAGACAACGACAAAACTGGTTTTTATTGTACATGGAATGGTTTAAATTTGGGGAAGTAATGGAGTAATAAATAATTGTAATGCGATTTGCGAAAGCGGTGTTTTGTGGGAGGTGCGGACGCGCCTTGACAATGGCTTCCCTGCGAGTTGACCATGTTCGGCACTCCGTTATATATGGTTTATCTCTAGAAAACTTGTCACCCAGTGTCAAGAACTCAATGCACCATTCCTTAATTAGTACGTGGAAATTCCCAGCGAAGATAAGATGGAGCTGTGCGGCGAGGTGATAGTTTTTCTCGACAAGTTAAGTGTTCAGCTTACCAGGTTTCCGGGACGCTAGTTACCCGATATCACGCATCAGTTGTTGTCACACTTATCTGAGTTATCTCGTCCTTCACCATGACCGCGATTCGAGGCGAAGCAGGACCGTAAGCATGCTCCTTCAGGGCCCTACGACGGATGCTGAATCTCCATAGTCTCACAATGTCGGCCCAGCTGGCTGAAATCCACCAAAAAATCGCGTGGCACTACTCGCAGATATCCATCCTGAAAGAGAGCGCCAACGCCCTCAATCCCATTTCTACGCTTCCTAACGAACTCATCGCCAAAATTTTCGAAATGTATGCCTTCCTGGAAGGTCCTCCGTTCGACTTGAAGTGGACGAAAGTCATGTTGGTGTGCCATCGGTGGCATGACGTGGCGCTCAGCGAACAGTCTCTGTGGGGCTTCATCCGGGACTCGTTCACCCACGGCATGAAGCAGATTCAAACCCAGCTAGAGCGGTCTGGAGCCGCGCCATTGTCTGTCATGATCGATTCGCTGGACTCTCCGCTGTACGCTACAGTGATACTGCAGCATGCAGAGCGTCTCTCCGAGCTGAATCTCAGCGGCGACGCAGCCAGTATTCTCGCATTCATCAACGTCCTTTCTGATCACAGATTCCCGCTTCTTCAATCTATCAAGCTGAAGCCGCGCTATAACAACCCAAGCACTTCGATCACATTCCCTGTTGCCGTATTCGACGGGCGAGCTCCTGCGAGCTCCTCGTTTAACAGAACTGGATTTGTCTCGCATCAGCATTGACTGGAGCCTTCTGCATGGACTCCGTTCCCTCGCACTCGACCTGGCCCCGGATATAACCGACTCCCCCTTCGAGAAACTGCTCTCCGTATTGAATGCGTCGCCGGCTCTGACTAGGGTAAAGCTCGGCCGCGTCGTTGCGTCTCAGAACCCCACGCAGTCGTATCGAGTGGTATCGCTCCCTCATCTCGAAATATTATGGATTCAGGAAGATGTCGAAATCTGCAATGCGCTGCTACGCCATGTCACCATACCCCCCACCACCCGTGTCTCCATCTACGGATTGGGCATTCGGTCCGGCTCAAATATCACCGACCTCCTAGTCCCGCTTCGCAAGCACGTCCGTGCTCCGTCGGCGCCAACTCTGCGCTGCCTCCGGATCGATGCCCCGGGCTCGTACTTCATGCTCACCGCCTTCACCGTCGCCCTTGTGCTGAATCTCGAGCATGAAGCGGAAGCTTTCCTCGTGAACACACACCCTCCCACGGACAATCTCCTCCGCCAGATAATGAGCAAGGTGCTGAAGGCGCTGCCCTGCACTAACATCACATACCTTGACTGTCGCTCCGCGACGGCCATCACCATCACGTCCTGGAAAGCCGCGCTCGCGCTGCTCCCTGCGCTCGAGACGGTGTACACGTCCGCCAGCGAGGGTGCGGTGCGACTGTTCACGGCGCTCGCCGAGCTTAGCGACGCGTCGCTGAGAGGCGGTGTGTGGCCTCCGCTGCGGCGCGTTCATATGTACGCGCACATTTGGCGGCGCATCGAGGACGGGAACGTCGATATTGTCACGCCTGTTCTTGACGCGCTCCGGCTGCTGCTTCGCGCGCGCCAGGCGTGTGGAACACCGCTTGAGGTGCTTGAGATAGAGGAGCAGGCGAACTCGCTTGGAATGGCAGAGGCGGAGTGGGAGGCTTTGTTTGAGCTTGTCGGGCGGTTCGTGCGGAACGGAGAGGATTACGACCCGCCTAGGATGCGAAGGGAGTTTGCGGAGTGGCAGAGGCAACTCCTATTGGAGGATCCCAGCAATTCGAATCCTGAGTAGGTTTGGAACAACTGAGGATTCTCGCTCGAGGTCAGTCCACGTGCAGGTCGTCGTGCTTTTCCAAAAATGACAAGATCAATAGGAACGACTTTGTCTCGGAGACTGTACCTAAAATTCAATAAATGTGGACAAACGAACTCCCTGCTAGCAATGACTCATGAGAAGGAAAGGCGAACTTTGCATACAATCGTTTCACTTTACTTGACCAGGAATCAAACCGTAGATCTCGTTTGGCAAAAGACATGCCCATACCCAACGCAGCAGATTCCATTTTCGGGTTATTTTCGGCAAATGTGGTGGTTTATCTTGCTTGGAACCAAAATTATGCATTGGTCGGAATTGATGGTCCCAGCTGATCGCAGCGGGAACTGGTTCAGCATCACCTGGCCTATTATCCATGGACGACTGTTGGTAGATTGAACCCTTCTCATTCAGCGGCTGCTTTCAGGGTGCAAACGGTCATCGCGTGACTGGGTTTCTCATTCAAAGCGAAATCCGATGGACGGGCGAGGATTAGCCGGAAATAGACATATAATGCGCGTCCAGCCTTCCGCAGAAACCATTTCAGCAATCCCAAGACGACAATGCTTCTTTACGCACTCGTGCTGGTCTCGGTAGCGAGTTCGGCGCTGGGAACCGTTGTGGAGTGGGGGCAGTGCGGGGGCATTGGATGGACAGGCGATACCGGTTTGTGCGCGCTTTGCATGCGTTTTAGCCCCCATTGATGATTTTGTCAAGTTTGCGCTGCGGGCCTCTCCTGCACTGTTGTGAACGACTGGTATTTCCAGTGTCTCTCGGGAACTGCCACGACCACCGCGTCCAGCTCAACTTCCAGTACTGTGTCAAGTTCCACGACTACGAGTACCACTACGAGTACGACATCTGGTCCCTCTCCGACTGGATTCGTGACAACGTCGGGGACAAAATTCATGCTGAATGGCGCCAAATACACTGTGGTTGGGCACGTCCTGATTTTGGTGTTGCCGGCCCCCTAGCCTTCTAATTATTATCCAGATCCAACGCGTACTGGCCGGCTCTGCTCGGATACAGCAGCGCCGATGTCGACAAGGCATTTACGGACATCGCAGGTTCTGGTGCCACTACGGTCCGGTAATCTATCTATTCCTTTTTTCTCGAAGGCGTCTCCTGAGAATTTCTAGGACGATGTGAGATTCACT